TTCCCGATTATGACAAGGAGCAGACGGCGGTTGTGACCGGTCGGCGGGGATGCTCACACCTCCATGGCACCTGATCCCACCTCTAAATTTGATGTCTGTGTTTGCTCTGCTCTAAATTTGTATCGTTTCATTGGACTTTCGAGCTTGAATACTGTTCGTTATCTTCATATTTCACTTTAAAATGCTACTCCTCCTACAGTGTTGGTCAATATAACTTGGCACACAAGTAAATTACACTAAAATACATACTTTAGTGCATCAGCTTTTGATTTGGAATAACGTTCTTGCCACAGTGACTAAAAATAAAAATTTCTGTGTATTTTTTTGATTTTGATTAACATTATTGCCATGGTACATGTAAGGGATATTAGAAATATTTGTGAAATACCTTGAAAACGCTACTCCTCCTACAGTTTTGGTCAGATTTCAGTATAACTTGGCACACAAGTAGAATACACTTAGGTACATAATTCTGTGCATGAGTTTTTGATTATTTTTTTTTTGGAGTAGTCAGCAGTGTTGCCATAGTTATTAAAAAAAGAGAAATTTCTGTGAGATACTTTTAAAATGCTACTTCTACAGTTTTGGTCTGATTTCAGTATAACTTGGCACACCCGTAGACTACATTGAGATTACATAATTCTTTTTATAAATTTGTTTGTGACTGTTGTGGGCAGTGTTACTAAAATTAGAAATATTCGTGAAATACTTTAGAAACACTACATCTCCTACAGTTTTGGTCTGATTTGAATATAATTTGGACACAAGGTTTCAAAATCAGATAAATAATTCTGTGTATCGTCTTGTGTTTTGGAATAATGGTGTTGCTGTGGTTACTAAACATAGAAATTTCTGTGAAATACTGCCAAAATGCTATTCCTCCAATAGTTTTCATCTGATTTCAATATAACTTTACACACACATAGACTTCACTGAGATACATTAGTTTATATATATATATTTTTCATTCTGATGAACGGTCTTGCTATGGTTTCTAAAATAGAAATTTTCTTGAAATTCTTTCAAAAGGTTACTCTTCCAACAGTTTAAATATGATTGCAATAAATCTTGCTACAAAGCAACTAAACCAAGGACCATTATTCTATTTATTGCTGTTTCATAATTTCAAGTACAAGTCTTACTTTTCTCCTTCTTTCTTATAAATACAAACCAGCACAGCTACAGTCTCATCAGAGACTTCTGGTTAATATAAGCTGTTTAAGAATTAAATTTCTATGAATTGTCCAATTCTGCCAATTGATTGTCATGCAACACAACTTCATCTGTGCGAATCGAAGGTAATGGTATTTGATCCTGTAATAAAATTGTTTTTGTTTTACACATGGATTTTACAGATGTACTATAAACACTTCATCCCAATATGTTTGTAACTGAGTCGTGGCTCACTGTCCTTCCATCATCTTTCAATTTGCTTGAAACTTGCAGGATTTATTATATAATTCAAAACATATCTGCTGTCAGTGACAGTCTTTATTTCAACATTTTAAGCTCACCTGGGCTGAAAGTTTTTGAGCTTTTCTGATCACATTTTGTAGTCCGTCAGTCCGTCCGCCCTTCTGTGGCTAAACTTTTTACATTTTCAACTTCTTCAGAACCACTGGGCTAATTTCAACCAAACTCTCCACAAAGCATCCTTGGGTGAAGGGCATTCAGGTTTGTTCAAATGAAATCCCACCCCTTTTTTCAAAGGGGAGATAATAAAGAAATAGTGAAATTTTGGTGTTTTATAAATCTTCTCAAGAACCACTAGGCCAAAAAAATTTAAACATATGTGAAACTTTCCTTACATAGTGCAGATAAAAGTTTGTTCAAATCATGACCCCCCGAGTTAAGGTGGAGCCATGATGAAGGATCAAAGTTTTACATATAGAAAATCTTTAAAATTCTTTTTCTCAAGAACAGCAAAACCATAATTGATCATATTTATCTGGAAGCATCCTCCGGTAGTGTAGATTCAAATTTGTTCAGATTATGACCCCCGGGGATAGAGTGCAGCCACAATGAACAAAGTTTTACATAGAAAAATTTTTGACATATGGAAAATCTTTAAAATTCTTTTTCTCAAGAACGGCAGAACCATAATTGATTTTATTTATGTGGAAGCATCCTCCGGTAATGTAGATTCAAATTTGTTCAAATCATGACCCCCCGGGGATAGGGTGCAGCCACAATGAACAAAGTTTTACATAGGAAAAATCTTTAAAAATCTTCTTCTCATGAACAGCAAAGCCATGATTAGTCATATTAATACAGAAGCAGAAGGTAGTAAAGATTCAAAAGTATTTAAATCATGACCCCACAGAAATATTTAGGAAAATACTAGCTGTGGCCTTCAATTCGACATTCAGATATGTCGACGATGCTTATCAATTAACAATAGCTATTTTCATTTGTATATAGACCCGATATATCCCCATAAACTTGAAATAAAAGGCACCACAGAGTCTGTCACATTTGTTTCATATTTAAATGTTTTACTGACTATAGACGATGAAGGCCAATTAACAACTTAATTGTATGACAAACGAGATGACTTTAGCTTTTCCATCGTCAACTTTATTTATGTAGTAATATTCCACTATAACCTGCATATGAAGTTTATGTCTCCCAATTTATTCGCAACTCGAGAGCTTGCTCTGAGTACGATCAATGTTTAAAGAGAGGCAGGCTACTCACTGGTAAGTTTATATTACAGAGATTTCAACAGCCTCGTTTAAAGTCAGCATTTCGTAAATTTTATGGTCGTTATAATGACCTTGTTAGCAAATATAACTTATCGTTAGGTCATATTTTGGCTGACTTGTTTCATACATATTGTTAGGCCTTTGTTTTTGTACTGAATTGACTACGGGTAGTTTCATCAACATAATCAATACATAGGTGTCACGGCGGGTGTGACCGCTCAACAAGGAATGCTTACTCCACCTAGGCACCTGATCCCACCTCTGGAATTGCCAGGGGTCCGTGTTTTATGCCCTCTTCACATATTTGTATTGTTTATGGATTTTTTTTTTAGATCGATCACTGTTTGTTATCTTTACCTATTACATAGGAAAAAATTTAGAAAATCTTCTTCTCAAGAACAACAAAGCCATGATTGGTGATATTAATACGGAAACATGACCCCGGGACTAGGGTGGGGTCAGAATGAGCGAACAAATTTTACATAGAAATTTATAGGAACATCTTTAAAGATCTTCTTCTCAAGAACAGCAAAGCCATGATAGGTAATATTTGTATGGAAGTATCCTCTGGTAGTGTAGATTCAAGTTTGTTAAAATCATCTGCTAGGAGTAGGGCGGGGCCACGATAGAAGATCAAACATATTAAAAAAAATCTTCTAAAGCCATGATTAGTCAAAGAAATATAAAAGCATCCTCAGCTTGTGTAGATTCAAGTGTGAATAAATCAAGCCCCCCCCCCCCCACCTCCCAGGGCAGGGGGTGTATGTGATCACTTATATTTTTAATACTTAACTGATTTCTGCTTTTTTTTCTAGCCAATGTGCTTAGGTAAGCAATGTGGCCCATAGAATGAGAAAGAATGAAATGTATGGAGATAACAAACAGTATTCAAGCTCTAAAGTCCATTAAACATTAAACGAAAGAGCAGAGTAATCACAGTATTCAAGCTCAAAAATTAATTCAAACAATTCAAATTATGGAGCAGAGCCAACACGGACCTCTAAAACATCAGAGGTGGGATCAGGTGCCATGGAGGAATGAGCATTCCCTGTCGACCGGTCACACCCGCCGTGTGCTCCTTGTCATGATCGGGAAATAACGGAAAAATCCGTCGACAATTCAGTGTGTAAATAATGGCCTAACACTTAGTATGAAAAACTTCAGTCAGCAATTGACTTAATGATAAATTGTATTTGCTGACAAGGTCATGTATCAACCATAGAACTTATGAAAGGACGACTTTTAACGAGACTGGCGATATTCTCATATTCTCATTCTTATATTGTGATTATCATATCAATGAATGAATGAATAAATATCGCTGAAAATTCTACTAGTCCGATCCTGTCAGTGTGAACCTACATATACTAGTCCAACCGAATTTTTACTAGGGTTTGGGTATCGGGTTAGTGATTTTGGCGCACATTGCTTTTCAAAGGTTTAGCCCATTTGATTTCATGTCCTACATCCCATAAAAAAAGTCCACATTGTATTTTTCATTTTTTCCAAATACAAATATTTTTTAAAGGCAACATAAAGTGGTCATACATTTTATGCCCCCGTAATCGATAATTCGGGGGTATATAGTTTTTGCCCTATCCGTCCGTCTGTTTGTCTAACTGTCTGTGTGTTTGTCCGCAAAAACTTTAACCTTGCCTATAACTTTTGATTGGTTTGAGCTATGGTCTTCAAATTTCACATGTGTATTCCTTGTGACAAGACCTTCCTTTGGGTACCATCATATTTGACCTTGACCTTGGAGTTTGACCCAGTTTTGCAAAATTTTAACCTTTTCCATATCTTTTCAATGGTTGCTGCTATGTCTTTCAAATTTCACAGGTATATTCTTCTAGACAAGGCCTTACTTTGGGTACCAAAGTATTTGAATTGCATTTGAGAAAGTTTAACCATCGCTATAAGTTGCCATACAGGGGCATCAGTGTTTCACAAACACATCTTGTTTTATACAACAACAACAATACCCTGTTAAAAAATTACTTTAACTTACATTCGGTATGTTACCCTTTACACGTCATACTCAGTAAGTCAGTTGAGAAATAATGTGAATAAGATATATGTTTGTACCTTATCATAGAAAAATATTACTTTACGTAAATTAAAGTTAAAAAGTCTACAGCAAACCTATTTCAAGACATTTTATAATACTGTCTTTATGATCCCTTGCCGATCATTCCTTTAAAAGGAATTCTTGTCTGCCATGTGTTTTTGTATGAAAAAATTCTAGGCAAATGTCAAAATTATGTATTATATTAATTTATACTTTTATAATTATAGAAAATGTTGATGGACTCTGTAAGTATCACCGATCCTTACGACTCCCAAGTTGGATAAACTGTGCCCAGTACTATGATTGCTCTATGAGGGATTCCGTTTATCGACCATACCTTCATGAGTGTACTTACCCCCAGCTGTTTTCTTTAGCTACCTTACAGTGTGAAGATTTCCATCACATTTCTTGTGGCATTAGAACAGAACCCATGGCTCCATGTAAGATACATGTACTAAGTACTTCCTATTCAGCAAGAAAAATAATGGTACCATAAAAGCTAGCAGTTTCTGTAAATTATCAGATTCTTACTAATGTGTATATAAGAAATATAAGTCTTTCCTTAACACTTTTTCTTATCAGGTCAGTATTTACAGAATCAGTGTTCTGTAGGGGACTCTAATTGTATCCCTTGTCCAGCCAGACTTCCAAGTTGTCTTACTTTACCAGATGGAGTTAATCCATACCCAGGCAAACAACATTCTGCTAACTATATACTTTGTGATAGGAACAGGACTCTGTCAATAAAGACTTGTCCTTTTGGCTACTTTGATACAGCATCCAAACTCTGCATTAAGTTGGAATCTTCGACAGGTGAGTTTCACTTAGATAATACCATTGCCTTATTGGCTATTCTGAGCCAAAGGCTCGAAGTGCTAATGCTATGGCCATTTGTGCAGTATGCATCAACTTCAAATGTGTCACAGAGTATCCTTGACCCAAGGACTCTCATTTATGCTAAAACTAGGGATGTGACCCTTAAACAAGGGGAGGTAATTAGGAACATAAAAACAAAATTACTTGTTGCTAAAACATCTCAAGAACCACTGGATAGATTATCATTAAACTTATACACAAGGGTGAGGATATGTTTTAGATTAAATATTGTTCAAGGCATCACCCTGGGGCAAAAAGGGTGGTCTCAAGGCAACTTCAAAGTTGACCAAAATTATGCTTTGTTTAAACTTTGGTTTTTTGCTTCCTATAAGGACAAGGATCATCAGATCTTGTCAGTTGATGTATCTTGGAACTCATATCATGTTGACTCAAAAGTATGTCACGGTTACTTACTTTCTGAATTTTGCATGTATTCATTTCAATTTGATTTTGATGCATGTCTTGTACATTTTGAAGCCAGCCCATGATCATCAAAACTTGTCAGTTTATGCATTATATGGCCTTAAAGTGTGTCAACCAAAAAGTAGGTCACCTTGACCTCCTTTTTACAAATTTGATAGGTAATCATTTCAAAACATTTAAGGTCATTATTTTGGATAATGAGGGATTAAGAATCATCAAACCTTGTCAGTTGGTGCATCTTTGGAATTTAAACATATTTATCAGAAAGTAGGTCACAGTGACTCACTTTTTGAATTTTACAGGCATTCATTTACAAATTGTTTTAGAAGCTTATTTTGGACAGGCTGAAGCTTATGATCATGTACTCTTGCCAGTTGATGCCTCCTAAGGCCTCAAAGTATTTCTACCAGAATGTAAGTCACAGTGACCTACTTTTAGAATGTTATGGCTATATTTTAATATTTCAAATACTAATGAGATTAGAATCATCAAACTTTGTCAGTTGATGTATGTTCGGTAATCAAACTAAAATTAGATCACATTGACTTACATTGGAAAGAACCACGCATTCTAACTCTCGATTCCCGCCTACATTTTGCACCCATCTAATTCAATATAAATGGCAGTTTGGCAATTAAAACATGATTTAATTCGAAGAAGAGTTTATTATCAATTGATTAATAATTTAAAAACCAGTGTCAAAAACTTAATTGCTCCTATCTATGACTCTTTTCAAAAGGGGGTTGAACATTTTGTCCATTGAAATCGGGCTGTAAAAATTGCTAGATTTTCAAAAACGCATGAAAAGGGGAAAATGACCCTTAACACTTTTCGTATGTTTAACTTGTGTAAAATTCAACATAAAAGATTGATAATAGACTTTATTTTATCTGTAATCTCATTTAAAATTGATGTTAAATTGACTATTTTGTAGTTTAGATAATAAGAGACTTAGAATCATTAAACTTTGTCAGTTGATGCATCTTGGGTTCTTAGAGTGATTTAACCAAAATTCAGGTCATGATGACCTACCTTTGGAATTTCAAGGCTTTATCTAAATATATAGAATGCTTAGAGGCTTTAAATAGTAGTGGTAGGTTGTACAATTTATCACAAGAGCAAATCATGACCCTTGGGCCTCTTGATTATTAATGTCCAAAAAATTGGCTAGTTTGTCGTATCAGATTTGATTTATTTAATTAGGGATTACAGCTCACCTGAACTGAAAGCTCAAGTGTTTTTTTTTTTATCAAAGGGTGTTCAGAGTCTCTGTCATGTGTTGTCTTTAAACCTTTTATATTTTTTACTTCTTCTCAAGAGCCATCAAGCCAATTTCAACCAAACTTGCCAAAAAGCATCCTTTGGTGAAAGGGATTTCCATTTGTTCAAATAAAGAGTCGCATTTTCTTTCAAGGGGAGATAAATAAGAATTAGTAAAAAGAGCCATAGCTGCTTCGCTGACAACTCGGTTGACTCAATTAAAAAGAAAATCACCTGTTTCTTTTTATATATTTCTATTTATAGATGTCTAAACCTATGAAATATCATTAGTAGACCAGTGTTATATTTTATAGGTGCAAGTATGCCAATCATTTTTAGCTCACGCCGACGAAGTTGGAGGGAGCTTATGTGATACCCTCGGTATCGGCATCGGTGTTGTTGTCCCAGATTTATGATTTAGAGTGAAATATATAGAGATAACGAACAGAATTCAAGCTCAAAAGTCCATTAAAAAATACAAAAAAGGAGCAGAGCAAACACGGACCTCCAAAACATCAGAGGTGGAATCAGGTGCCTTGGAGGAGTGAGCATCCCCTGCCGACCGGTCACACCCGCCGTGTGCTCCTTGTCATGATCGGGAAATAACGGAAAAATCCGTCGACAATGTGTAAATAATGGCCTAACAATTAGTATGGAAAACGTCAGTCAGCATTTGACTCAATGATAAATTGTATTTGCTGACAAGGTCATTGTATCGACCATAGAACTTAACGAAATGATGACTTTAAACGAGCCTGCTGATATTCTTGTTTCATCAACTTGTTTGTCAATAATTTACCTCGTTTTAGAAATTGTACATACGTAGAGCATGCTTTTGCGTATCGAATCAAATGAGAGATATAAACCCCGTATGCATGTGATGAAGGTATATTGCTACATAAGTAAGGGAAGTTGACGATTGAAAAGTTAAAGTCATCACATTTATCATAAAGCTTGGTTGTTAGATTACCATTGACGTCTTTCTCAATTAAAATATCCAAATATGAAACAAATTTGTCAATCTCTGTGGTATCTTTTATCTCAAGTTCACCGGGATATATCGTATCGACATAAGAATGGGAATAGCAGTTGATTAATATTTTGATGTTTTACTAGGCTGCACTAATTAAGCTCATCAAATTGTAATTAAATTTCAAATAAATTTTGACTGTCAATGTTAAAATTTTTTTAACACCTTAAGATCCATAAAAATACCTTTTGTGACTTGGTACCTTTTCTGTAAAACAGTTGAGGGAGGGTGGTTAATAGTCAATTTGGACAGTTCTAGTTTGATATTATTTAATACATTATTTTAATTCTAATTTTTATTTATATCTTTACAACAGATTGCAGAATGTCATGTCACACTAAGATGACAATTTTATATTCTAAAGAATAAACATAATTTGTTTAATTCAGCTGCAGTATTCTCAATCAATCATAAATATACAATTAAAAAAAGCTGCAGGTGGCATTTGTCAAGCTCTAACACAACCAGCTGAGGATTCTATGATGTTTTATTTGTTATAATAAATGCCTACACCACAAGAGATCTATAAACATTAAACAGTATAATGAATGGAAAAATCTTTGAATCAAGGTTGGCATGATTTTTTTTCTTTTTTTTTTCTTTTTTCTTTTTCCTTTTTTTTTGTCACACTCTAAACTGTTTATGATAATTGAACAATATTTGCCTGGTGTATTTTGCTGTGGCGGGAAACTTTATTGAAAATATTATTTATTATAAGCATAGTAAAGAAAACATTGAATAGATACATAAACAAAAAAAATTAAAAAGGCATCAATGAAAAATGTTAGGCTCTAACTCACAATCATCACACCATCATACCACTGCGTCACGATATCATAGCTGTAGATTGGAAAAATCGAATATATATTTTCATCATTCTCAATATGGAGACCACTTTTAACCAAAACTATCTAAATGTCTTAATGTAATCATGTGCAGTCAAATCCAAATTAAATTATTCAAATCTTGTTTTTTCTGGTAAAGGGTTGTCTTTGGCAACAGTTTGTCAACCTGTAGGTGGATACCTCAATATTTACTATATACTCCATACCAGCTGGAAGATTTTCATGTTTATCATGTAAGGAAACAATCCATATTTGAATATCATTATTTTGTAATTTCAGTTAACACGTATTTAAACTATGATGGTACGACAAACTTTTTGTTAAAATATACACTTAAAGGCATACAACACAGTGGGGGAGATAACTCTTGTGATTTCAATAAAACATTTAATTTGACGGCAAATTTTTAACGTTAACTTTTAAGCTTTCGAGCGATACGATTGGGATGTATTTAAAAAGCAAAATGGGAATAGGGGCTTTAATAGTGGTTTCTTAATACCAAATCCTATTCTAGATTATATGTCTCTTCATAAAAGTAAAAAAAGAGAGGTTACTCCTACATTATGAATGATTATGTAAATCGTATCCATGTTCATACAACAGTGTATCAAGTTTATGATTTATCTGGAAAATTTTGTGTTATGTACATTGCGTTTTTTTACTTTACTTTTGGCTTATGTAGCCAAAAGTAAAGTAAAAAAAAAAACATTCATACATTCTGATTACTGGTCTATTTTCAAGTACAATTTTGTAGATATATATTGTTTTGTTCTCCTCTTATAAAAAAAATGTTTTACAATACAATGTATCGATAGTTTTCAGGAACAACTCTAAAAATGTTGGAGATGTTTGTTTTCCCTCCCCTAAGTTGAGTAACCGTATTCCTCCTGTTTTGCGAACAATTATAATTTCTTTACAAATACACAGATGTACATCTGATGAACTCAAGAACTGCAAACTATACTGGAAACTCGTTGCGAGCAACGAGACGTTTTCCGTCCGAATAACCATCCTTATATGTGGTATTCTTTGCATGTAAAATAAAATTTATAAGTGCTCTTTACTATACCTAAAACTAACATTGATCTTTAAAAAATACCAGGATTTTCAATTCTTTTTATTTGTAAAAATGAAAATAGCACAGAATTCACACAGAGAAAAAACCCGCCAATTTATAAGGAAAATGCAAATTTAAGCTTAAATTGAGAAAAAAAAATTGGACATAGTCGAAATTAAACTCAGATTGCCTGCGTGAAAAAATTAATATGGAAACCACAACACCAGCGCAATGCACCAGCCATCATCGATGTTTACTTTGCACTCACTGTCTGATGTAACGAGCGTCAGGCAGGTTAAAAGTTTTCGTTTCATAGTATGGA